CCCTATCTTGCGGAGGATGTGGAGCCGCTGGACTGACCCCTTGGCCTACTGGGCAAGCTGCAGCCAGATGTGGCAGCATCTGGCCACAGTTGCCCAACAACACCTGTCCTGTCCACCAACCAGTGTTCCAAGGAAGAGGGTGTTCAGCATTGCTAGGGATGTTGTGACACCCCACTGCACCTGCTTGGATCCTGCTTTGGTGGAGCAACTGGTGTTCCTATAGGTGAACCTCCCGCTGCTGGGCTTCCCCAAGCTCCACCTGCAGACGGACTGACTCCGTCACTCCTCACTCCGTCTGCACTAGTTTTCTTTTTTGAGTTTTTTTTAAAAGCCGAGTAATGCCCCACTCTCAGCTGGAGGGGGCACTAACTGCATCACCAGCCAGCAGGGGAAGAACATGTCCCTGCTGAGCTCATTCCCCTGCCAGGATGAACTTGGAGGTATGGGACTGGGGCTATGGGGAAGGAAGAGGCCCCAGGTCCTTGGCATGACCACTAAAACTGTACCCTGCCAAGATAGGGAGGCCTGGTGGGACTGCTGGTTGTGTGGCAGCCCTGTAAATGCCAGGACCAATGATCCCCTGGTGAAAGGCAGGTAGGAGGCACCATAATCTCCACCTAATGCATGCATGCACAAAGTCCTGGCTGGGGAACACTCAGACTTGTCATGTCTTTGACAGACCTGATGCTTGCTGGTTGCAGTGCAGTTGTGAGGCTCCCGGTGAGCTCAGCTTAGCTGCCTGGGATGCTAGCTTTTGCATTGAAAACCCCTTTGTCAGGCTGAGGAGGTACCTGCTGTTGGTTCTCGATGGAAGGAATAGTAAAGAAGCCAGAGGCTGGCCTGGCCCGTAATGCAGGCAAGAAAGTTAGTCAGTGAAAATGGAAATGCAGGCATCAGGGGGTGAGGGACATGATGGGGTTGGGGGTAGGGGGGGAAAAGGAGATGTAGCAGCTCAGGTAAAAGTGCAGAGGTGCCTGGGGTGTCAGATGTCTGGCAGGTTGCAGTGTGCCAGAACTCCACTGTGTATATTGAGTCCATGAGTTTCTGTACCTACTACCTAGGAGGCTGATGAAGTGCAGTTCATAGGCCCAGCTCTGAAAAGTGGTTTGCATTGTAATTTGGTCCCCCACTCCAGCCTGTCCCTCATCCCCTGACGCCTGCATTTCCATTTTCACTGACTGGCTTTCTTGCCTGCATTGTGGGCCAGGCCAACCTCTGGCTTCTTTACTATTCTTTTCATCCAGAACCAACTGCCTGACAAAGGGGTTTTCAACCCTAAAGCTTCCAAAGATACATTTTTTTTAAGTACTCCTTGTTTTCATAATAAAAATATAGATACAAAAACACAAGACAAGCCATCACACACCGTGAGTAACATCATATGTCCAACACAACACAACATCTTTACTTCTTGCTCTCACTTCCTTTATAAAAAGAAAGGCTGTGACAGTTCCCCTTGCGTACCTTTGCTGCTGCTGCTGCTACTGGTGTTGAGCCAGCTAAGTTATTTTACTTGTTGTCATGTAAAGTGTTGGACTGGCCCTGAGGCTATAGTGGGGGAGGAGGCCTCACTGGGACACACTGCCATGTTGTGCAGAGGCCCCAGCGCCAGGAAGGGTGCACCTTAACACACACACAGTGTCACCCGCCCACATAACGAATTTTGCCCGTTAGCAGCCAGAGTTGCAGGGCCCCAGTAGCCCTGCACACACACAGCTGGAAGGCTTTGTGGCCTTAGCAGGGGCCACCACCCCTGCAGTTTTCAGCCCACTGAGCCTTAACACACACAGGGTCATCTATGTCACAAGTTTTGCCTGTCAGCAGCCGTGGAGGTGCCGTTCCCCCCCCCCCCCAAACCCTTACACCTATCTTGCAACTTGGCAGGCTTTGTGGCCTCAGCAGGGGTTACCACCCCTGCAGTTTTCACCCCCCTGTGGTGTAACACATACATGTAACATGAGTTTTGTTTTAAAGAATTTGGGGTACAGTTCCTCCCAAGCCCCTGCACATATCTTCCTGAAACTTGGCCGGCTTCATGCTCTCAGCAGAGGCTACCACCCCTGCAAGATTCATGCAAATCAGACAAAAAATAGCAAAGTTATAGATATTTCATTGATCCCCCATTATACCCTATGACCAGCTCTCCGAGGGAGCTCCAAAGCTTGGGAGCCACTTTGGCCGGATTGAAGTGGGAAACTGATCTGGAGCTCTGGATCGTTGACATCCAAAGTGGCTGGATCTGAAGCTGGGTCGAGTAACTGCTTATTCGTACAGGCCTACTAGACAGGCTGGGAAGTTGGGCGGATTGGAACCAGATGAAGTTCAACATGGAGAAGTGTAAAGCACTCCATCTGGGAATGAACAACCCCCAACATACTTACAGCCTCAGTGGCATCAAACTGACTAGCACCACAACTGAAAGGGACCTGGGGTAATAACAGACCATGGTATGAACATGAGCCGTCAGTGTAATGCTGTAGCCAACATGGCAAACAATACTCTGGCATGCATCAACCGATGCATCTCAAGCAAAACTAAAAAAGCCATTCTTCCACTTTACTCAGCACTGGTGAGACCACAGCTGGGGTACTGCATCCAGTTCTGGGCGCCACACTTCAACAAGGACGTGGAAAAGTTTGAGAGTCCAGAGAAGAACCATCCATGTGATCAGAGACTTGCAAGGCAAGCCATACAAGGAAAGCCTGAGGGACTTGGGCCTCTTCAGCCTAAAAAAGAGAAGGCTAAGAGGGGACTTGGTAGCAGCGTACTGCTACATCAGGGGAATACATCAAGGGTTCAGTGAACAACTGTTCACCAGGGCACCCTTGGTGAAAACCAGGAGTAATGGCCACAAACTCCTGGAAGACCGTTATAGGCTTAACACTAGGAAACACTTCTTCACAGTTAGGGTGTCCAGACTGTGGAATAAGCTCCTTTCAGAGGTGGTGCAATCACCTACCCTGGAAATCTTCAAGAGGAGACTGGACAGTCATCTTGCTGGGGTCACCCCACCTAGTGCAGGGGGGCTGGACCTGATGATCTTGCGAGGTCCCTTCCAGCCCCTTCCAATCTATGAATCTAAGGTGGTACAAAACAAATACTCTGGCTTTACCTTGTGTAGCAGTTTTATAAAACATCTTCGTACAAAATATTGTTTTAAAATATGGGGTACCACCCCTATAAATATTAATGCCTTGCAATATCCCTGGTAGAAAAGTAATTATTCTTATTTTCTAGATGGGTAAATTTGAGGAGTAAAGACAGCAGAGAATATAGCATTGAGAATATAGAATATACAGATTCAGTCTGTGCTTCTGGTTGTTGCCCTAACATCACACTTAAGTCCTACAAACTGTTACATTTTGTGCAAGGTGATATCAAGATCTAATACTTATATGAAAATGTAAAGTGCATCTCCTATCAGTGTTGCAGGGAATAGTCAGAGGAATAATGCTTTGAACTTACTTCTGTTAAATCTAGGAGAAGATATTTACCTTCTTTCTTTTTCTCAATGCAGCACTCCCCAGCTGTGGACCTTCCCAAAATTGAGGGTCAGTATGTGTTATCTTCATTTATCTATTCAGGGTTGGAGTGGTGTTGTAGCTGTGATGGTCCAAAAATGTGAGAAGCAAAGTACTTTTTTGGTGATTAACTTTTATTGGACCAACTGTATAGTTGGGAGACATGTTAGACAAGCTGTCAGGTACAACGTGTTCTTCCTTAGGACCCACTTGGTGGCTGACAGCTTGTCCATAAAAGGGATCATCAAAAAAAAAAATCCCCAAACCTTGCTTCCACTTAGCTATTCAAGACAGTTACAGGATTAAGTACCATCATTTTACTGTAAACTTAAGCTTAATGTTGTAAATTATTGAATGTCGCACTGATAACCTAGATGATTGGCTTAAAGAATTCTGGTATTTGCACATGAAATGAATGACTGCTGGAACCTGTGATGTGTAGCAAAGTCTGCCATTTTTATAAGTGTGCATTTTTCACCCATGTACCTCTGAGGAGTGGGAGAGGTGGTGAGGAGCTGCTTTCCTTCTGGAAAGGAAGGCTGGCTTTGAATGGAATCCAACTGAATCCGTCTTATACTACTCAACACAGTAATTGACATAATGGCAGCAAAGCATTCTACTGTTCTGTTTCTAGCTTTACCCCCCCTCACCTGTAGCCCACTTGAAACCTGGGGAGTAGGATACTAGACCCAAGCATGAAAGAAAAATGCCCAAGCCAAGTCTATCCAGTGATTTATTCCTAGAAATCCAAAAAAAAAAAAATTAACTAAGAATATAAACATGCATATTGTAGATTTGTGAGAGGACAAATGGCAGTTCTGGTGGAGTTTAATTCAGCATTTACCATACTGAATGTAATGCATTGCATTTTAAATGTTTTTTAATAACTATAAATTTAGTCTGAGGAGCTAATACTGTTCAGTGGGATAGGACAACATGTGGAAAAAGTAATTGTGTCAAATGTATGGATTATTGTTTATTAAGTGTTAATTTCTGGGTTTATTTCTGGAACAAAGGAGGTGTAAAATAAAGGTAGATTGAAATCTATGTTTATTGACATTCCATTGTTTTTACTGACTTTTTTTTTTAAATGTACAGGTCTTTTTAAATCAACTTGACATTTCTATTTATTTCTTATAGCAAATAATCTACAAGAGTAACTAATTATGTTTCACAAATGTTTTTATTCTTGCAGCTGTTGTTTTGTTTGGGGAGCCAGTCAGATGGGAAACAAATCTCCAGTTGATTATAGATGTTTTGCTGACAAGTGGCTACCCAGGAAATCCATATCATCATGCAAAATACCCACATATACCTGTTCTTGCTTGTAATATGGACCTAATGTGGGTAGCTGAAGCTCAGTCTCCAAGGTAGATATTGCTGTAACACATACATGATTAAAAATCTGTTCTGGGCTTCTCCATATCCCTCATAAAAGTTCCTAATAAATTCAGGAAGTGTGTCATACTAAGTTTCCATGTGAGCTAATCTTCACAGTAGGCAAAAAGTCCCCAAGCAGGGCTTTGAAGAAATAACACACTTGGCAGTACTTGCAGATTATCACATTTATGTTCTTGCAGGGTTTGCATACTTGCACTTTTCCACCAGTTTTTCCAAGTTGTAAGAGTTGCTTTAAGCCCTCAACCACTTTTCCTTCCCACGTCCCACCACTATTATATAGTATTGAGTCACCTTTCATCAGCTTCAACACTGCCGTATAAAGCCAGCTGTACTCTGCCTAAAGCACAGCCAAAACGGTAAGCAGAAAAAGAATGGATGGTACAAAACCCCTCTGAATTGCTAATATAGATATTTTCCTCTGGCTAACAGTATTGTTTATTATCTAGATTTATACCCCATAATGTTACATTCATCATGATTTGATACCTGGATGAAACTATAGACGAGGCTGAGAGACAGAATTTTAGGAATGTTGGTAATTAACAAATATTTGTAGGGCAGAATTTCAGTTTGTGCTAGCTTTCTCCAGTATGGAAGCAGTCTCATTAGGAGTTCTTATCCATACTCTGACTCTCTCTCAGCTCAAAGCAGAGGTGTAGTGGTAAGGTTTACATAACTTTTCTGAATTTAGCAGCACCTTATTTCAAAAACAAATACAATTATTACAGTGCTTATCTCCTCACACTTTGGCACCCTTAAAAGGCACAAACAGAAGTAACAATTTGTGCCCAATCTGGCCCCTGAAAGCACTCGACAGCCATGACCAAACACAAGTGTGTGGCTGCAGAGCACTTTAAAAGGGCCCGATCCCATGACAGTCTGAACCTTCATTACAGGAGGGTTCAGATGAAGACGCTCCAAAATGGAATGTCTTCAGTAACTTGTGTCTGTGCATGCTGGGAGCAGGTCTGGACTGACGCAGCTCAGCCCTGCTCCCAGTACTGTCTTCAGAATGGGAGGGCGGGGAAGGGAGCGGGGGGAGTTTAGTCTGGATTTTTTTCAGCTGGTGCTGGAGGGTGGGGTGGGTGGATTGGAGCTCTCCACAGGCTGGAGGGCTCCAATCCACCCACCCCACCCTGCAGACTCACAGCTGCTCTAAATTGCAGCTGAATCCCCCAGGACCCAACAGCGAACATCTGTTGGTTCTGGGGGAGTCACTGTAACTCATGACACTTTGTGCAAAATGCTGTGAGTTGCAGCAGGGAGCTGAACTTCTGTCTGTGCCTACAGGGTGGCAGGGCAGGTAGCAGCAGCAGAAGGGCATCCCTGAGAAAATGGCAAAGCATGGTGCTTGGTACTGGCAGTAACTGGTCAGTGGGGCAGATCTGGGAGCTTTGGGGTGGGTCATTCCACCACTGAATGAGGCAGTTGTCCCTGCCTGAGTTGGAAGAGGGTGACTGGAGGTACAGATATAGGTACTAGAGGAGGGCATTGGGCTCAGGACCCTGCTGAGCCCTGCTCTATCTGCTGTCTGCCCCAGGTCTGTACTTAAGTGGGGGAATTCAGCCTTGTCACTGTGGCTGCTCCTTCAGGGACTTGTGCGCCAGCATGATCAGAGCCACTTGCCTCTATGGCCTCTTCTGGCAGCTGTGGGTATGTGGGAGGATTGGGGAATGAACCCAGTTGAAGACTGTGGTCCCCTGCCCATCTACCTGTGGCAGAGTGCCCCGCCTGCACTGCAGGGACAGTTAGTAAAGGGCTTGCTGGGGGCCAGGAGTCCCTAGAGGAGTAGCCATGGGCTTTGCTTGTCCATGGGATGCTGGAGCAAGCATGCAGCACCCAGCAGAACGAGCAGCAAGCACTTTAACTCCTCACATAGGGGCTGCCATGACCCCCTTAAAAGGATCTTGTGGCACCCCAGTAGATGATCACTGGTTTATCTCCAGGGCCAAATCTGCTGCTGAGAGAGATGTTGCTGTGACCAGCTCCCAGGGGGAATCAGCCTCACACTTCTAATCCTCCATGAAGAACTTCTGCAGAGGTCCAGGTTCAGGGCAATGGGGCTCAAGGCAGCCTCACACAGATGCTGGACCAGATGCTGCTGCTTTTGGAGGGAGGGGGGGAGCTAGTGGAGCACCTGCCAATTGAGACCCTCATACACATCCCTGCTGCAGCAGGCCCTGATTTTTGTTTCCAGCAGCAACTGACAAAGGTAAATGTGGTGATGAAAAGGCTGGCAGTTGCAGGAGGGGGTTAGTAACACCTGGGGGTATGTTGTTAATCCCCTATTTACTGTCCTCCTTCCCACAGCAGTAGGTCTGCCCCAGCAGCATTCTAGATCCCTTCTGTCTGTGCCTGCCCCACATTTCACTGCTGGCTTAAAGATCTTTACAGCAGAATTTACTGTGTAGAGAGTAAATTTATCTTCTCTTCTCTGAACCTGCTGTTTGAAGGTAGAACCTTTCCTAAGATTGCCTCTGTATTAAGCTGAATCTGTAGCGTTAACTCTCAAGATGTCGACAGTTGAAAATAAAATTTGAAATTCTTTTTCCCACCCTTTCTACCTTAGCATCTCCTTGTGGCTGATCATGTAAACCTCAGGGAGAAGGGGAGGGAAAATTACAAACTTGTAGACCCTATTTTAGTCTACAACGTTCCCTTTTGTGGGATGTCCATTACACAAAATTTCCTTTTCAAGGTAAATAACTGGTCCTTTTTTAACACATCAGTTCTTACAAGTAGCCTGTCTGATCTTCTGACAATCTCTTTGTTAAAAATAACAATCTGCCAAATACAGTCCAAGTGCTTTTTACACATATTTGTAGAAGTAGACTTGTAATGCACACCGGCTCTTCACACTATTGGATATCTGATTGAGTTGCAATCAAGCTGAATTGCAAAACCTTTGTATGTATTTAGTTCTCTGAGGAATTACTTGGAAATAATCATCCCTGCATTTAGAAGTAGTAGGATTAAAGTCTTGAAGGTTGGTCTAAAATGATGAGCACGTGGCAAATTCTGAAGAGAGAATTTTGACCTCAAAACTTGATTCAGTTGAAATGGTTTATGATGTTCTATTACCAGTATGTAAATGATTTTTAATAGTGAAACATGTTTTCCAAACATCGCTGCACTGTTCTTGTGCAGGAAAACCTGAGGTTCACTGACTTTAGTCTTTTTTTTTTTTCATTTAATTTTTTTTCATTGTCCAAATAGAAAACTTTGAATATTTTCAATTAAGTCTTTAAATTTTTTTTCTTACAAGTAAAGATGAATGTTGTCTTGTAAATCATGTGTCCTGTTCCGTTGAAGTGAGTGTGAGTGGTGCTCTTGACTTCAGCAAGGGCAGCCTTGGACTTTAGTTAGTACCTAAAGTCTACGGTCAATATTTGGCCATATTTCCTTTACTAAAGAGCCAGAATTTGGATGAAGACACAAGCTTGTTTCTTCCTTAATTGGCAGTGACATTAGCATTGGCAAAAGCTAACATCCATCCATTATTGGCCATAATGACATGATCATCCAATAATCACCCAGAGCAATTCCAATCAATACCTAAAAAGGGATTTAAATAGAAATGTTTGCACTGATTTATCTGCCACTTGGAAAAATCCCAAATGGCTTATTCTGAGACCAGAAACACTATATCATACACATAAGCTCTAGACTTCCTTCCCATAAGCCCTTATTTTGTTCTGTACAATGTGCTTTTATTTCATGATATGTTAAAAAAGAATGGAAATCTGAGTTTCACATTAGTCTTGCATATGCACTAGAACCTAAATGGTCTTAGCTCTCCAGGATGGTTTTTAAGATATTGCTGTCAAGTTGCATTTTAATATGCCTGTGTGTTGAGATGCTTTATTATGAAGTTTTCAGAAACCAGGCCACTTAAGCCACTGAACTCAGTTCAAATGCACTGTATTTCTAGTCTTTTGGAAAGCTCTGGTTATAAAGTAATCTGTATGGCTGATAAACAAAACTCCTTAAGATGTGCTTGATTATTGAGGATTTCCTTAGTCCTCTTGGCTAGAAATTATATGATCCCTAAAGCCATTCCTTAAGTTTGGCAGCACAACAAATTTGCCTTTCATTCCTGGGTATCGCTTTAATCTAAACTGTTGCAATGATTTTGTTGCTGCTGTTGGCGCCAGTATCTCAGTTCACTAGCAATTGGATATAAAAGTTGCCATTGTTTTCAGAAGGCATGTTGGAAATTATGGGCTCCCGTGTAACATTTTTTCCTCAAGAACAGACCAATACAACTTTTCTTTCCTTGCAGTACCACAAAATAGACTTCAGTATATTTCATATAGTCTGAGCTAGGGGAGCTTACATGTAGTTCTGCATGATTTTTTTTAATCACCCCTTCCGCTATTTCTTCTCTATCTATTGCTGAAATTCAACAGACTTTCTTGTAGAAAATGTATGTCTCATGCCATGCAGTGCATTCCTTTAGAAAGTAAAGCTGTTTGCTTGGAATGCAAGAAATTGTTGATGTAGTTTTCTTGGTTCCACCTTTAAAATTAGACCATGCTACTGCTGCTGTTCTTTTACAAACTGCTACTATCGATCATTGTCCTTGATTCATCAGTCTCTTGATCACTACTACATTTCAGTGGAACAATTGAAGAAATGTGGCATATAAACTACTTATGTGATCAGAGAAAAGCGGTTTAGACTAGTATTGCTTAATATTGCCAAAAGTCCATTACATCGCAATCTCTAGTTTATTTTTTGTATGTACCTAGTCCAGCTTGGTTTTTAATAGTGTTTATCTCTCCAGATTTGGGCATGGAACATTTATGGTTTGCTTGGAAAACATTTACAAGAAGATCACTGGCAAGGAACTGAAATATGAGGCTTTGATGGGCAAACCTAGTGAGCTGACCTATCATTATGCAGAGTACCTCATCAGAACACAAGCAGCAGAAAGACAGTGGAAGAAGCCTGTTCAGTCTCTTTATGCTATTGGGTAAGGGATTGAATCATTAAATATAGAGCTGTCAGGAAATGTTTCACAGCACAAACAATAGCAAGAAAAATGGTGTGGCTTCTACTATTTTGTTTCTATTGGGAGAGGGGAGGAGATGTGATAAATTGAACTTTCAGATTTTCTGTTAAACAGCTTTTTGTAAAAATCTGTTTCTGACTGGAAAGTTGCTGATGTCAGCCCTTAGAACAAGCCTTCTTAGCTGGCAGATCATTCACAAAGCTTTTTCCCTGCATCGGACTCTTTCAAAGGGAGCAGTTGCATCTTTCTGTGTTTTTATTCCCCCACTCCTCATTGCTTGCTTTGGCATTCCCTTTCTCCATGTGGGGAAGTGCTTGCATCTGGGGGTGCAGCAATTAGAAATTTTGTGGGCCAATACAGATAGCTGATTTTTAAGGAGGCATATTGGCCAATACTGATCCAGTTTCTGATATGTAGCCTGGCAGCTAAAAGAGCAGCGTTTGGCTGGTAAGTCTGTTGTGGTGGAAGGAGAACGGGAAGGAAAGGGGCATGGAGGGGGGGATGCAGATCAAGGCCCCTGCAATGAGGGAGGGAGTGGGGCTGGGGTTGCAGCTAGGGTAGGTGCTGCCCAGCTGGGGCGTGGGCAGGACAGCCATGGTTCATCTAGGGGGCGCAAGGAGGGGAGGGGCAGCTCCCACTGCTGCGAATACCGTGGGAGGGCATGGGGGGGCTCATGCCCCTGGATTGGGGTGTGGCGTGGCAGGCTACAGCTGCAGGCTGGGGCCAGGGCTGCACTGGGCTCTTTCTGGGGGGAGCTGGGCCAGGCTGCACTCAGGGCAGGCGGTGGTGGCATTTGGAGAGAGGCTTTGTTGGGGGGGCCTGCAGCCACCCCAAAATTTGCCATTGTGTCCCCCCCCAGCTCCCCCTCCCAGTGCTGCCACTGCCCACCCCACCCTGTGCAGATCTGGGGGGCACACCCCCTATGCCCTCCCAGGATGTGCATACTAGCAGGAGCCACCTCCAACTTCCCCACATCCCCCAGACAACCTGTGGCTGCATCCTGCACCCCGTCCCAGCTGGGCAGTGCCTGCCCCACCCCATTCCCTCCTCATCTCTTCCCTCCCCCCTCCCCTTCCACCACAACAGACTTACCAGCTGCATGCAACTGTCCAAGCTGCCAGGCCGTGCTCCTCGCCATCTACGTGCTGCACTGTGGTTGCGGGCATTCACGGGGCCACTTATTGGCCACATTATCAGCCACATCAGGCCAATTTCTGATACAGTCAATGTTCTTTATATTGGTGCCAATCCAATATCGGACTGATGTATCGGTGCATCTCGACTTGCAACCCCTATATAAAGGTTGCTGCTGACCCAGGACCTATATCACTTTTTGAAGTGCTTCAGATGTCTTTGAAGCATTTCAGAGGGGGAGTAGAAGATATATATGCCATGTAAAGAGCTCCAAAAATAACTGTGGAGTAAACAACAACTATTTTGAAATGCTTTCAGTTACATCTGCTTGATATAGGGAGTGCAGCAGGGTTGATTGGTCCTTCAGCATCCCACAGTTCTCCACTTCCCCTCCATCCCCCTTTCTTCCCAGTAGGGGAATAATGGTACAGACAACCAATGAATGTTTTCCTGTGTGTTCAGATATCCCCACAGCTGGGCCACAGGAATCATTGCATGCCTCTGCCTGTAGTCTCCTGGTCTGGCAAGGAGGCCTCTAGTTCTGTTGGGGGAAAAGAGGGAGGTCTCACAGTTCCAGCAGGGGAACACTTGCATGTCTTGAGCATTCTGCAGAGCCCTTATTGTCCCACTAAATTTCCACAGAAAGCAGTTCTGGAACCTCATCGTTCTGATTAGAAACTTCTAACTTCCAGCCTAAATTTTTTCCCCAAGTTGTTTATATCCATTTGCTTGGGAGTTTGCTTGGGTTTTTTGTTTGCTTGTTTTTTGTTGATTTACTTTTTCTTGGCCTGCTGCAGTCTGAAGTACTCAGAATGACTTCTGTTGCATTGCTTTCATTGATCATGTTGATTGATGCAAGTGGTGTAATAATAATAGCAACTGTTGGGTTATGACACTTTTCCCTTTTTGTCTACTTATGTGAGTTCATAATTGATTATTTCATTGTAATTTATGTGGGACATGAGACTCATTTTTTCTTTGGTAAACAAAAGATCTTCTGTATATCTGAAATAACTCATGAGTTGCTCTGTTGATGAAGTCATACTTTTGCCTTTCCAGGGACAATCTAATGACTGATATCTATGGCGCTAACCTTTACAATCGTTACCTTGAAGAAAAGAACTCCAGAAAAGGTTCCAAAGCACTTGTTCAGGCCAAAGTTGCTGCAGGCACAAGATCTACTACTGTTTCTCAGGATGATGAAATAAGCAACACTTGGGAAAGTGAACTAGCATCTGCCACTGCCACTAGTTGTAGATCTATTCTTGTCTGCACTGGAGTTTATAATCCTCATGCAGAGGTGTCCCCTGAGACTGGGGAGAGTGTAACTGAAACAGTGTTCCACGGTCACAGAGATTTTAGATTTGATCCTGCCTTGATTGAACCAGATCATATTGTACCAGATGTTGCTGCTGCTGTAGACCTGATCTTCCAACTAGAGAATTTTGCACCTAATTGAAAAACCAGTACTCTCTAAGGATTTCCTAGCTCTGTGCTTCTCTTCCAAAAGCAAACTGAGGCGTGTAGCACAGCACAAACTGTGGCTTTCTAGCACATTTAACCCTTTAATTTTAATACTTTTAGCAAAACACTTCCTATGTGTTTTGATAGCACTTCATTGTCATCCTATTCCACCCTTTATGTGTGTGCGTGTTTTTAAGTTTGTCATCTTGCATAATGTCTTGGGGAACTGTCATTGTGTGTGTGTGGGGGGGGGGGGTTGTTTTGTTTTGTTTTTAATTCTCACGTTTACTTCATTCCTCTGTTCATTTGCTGAAGGAGTTAGTCTCTAATTGGGTGCATGCAGGAGTTTGAGGAGTGGCAATTAAGTAGTTCAAATAACCCAAGTAGACTTTGGCTGGTGCAGTGCCCTGTATACTTCTCTGGTGCTCCATAAGTAATAAGCTTTCCTTCCCATACTTTGCCTCAAGTTAAAAGCAAGTAATGTGCATCCTTGACTCTCCCTCTCTGTATTTGTCTGCTCTTAATTGTGTATCTGTATATACATCTCTTTCCACTTAGGCTTGCAACTACAATTGCTGCCCTCAGCTTTTCAGTTTGCTCTCAGGGATGCCCATGAGACCTAGTATAAATGCTTAGTAGCCAGTACCATTTCTGGAATTTCTGGTTACTGAAACAGCTGATCTAAGAGGGAGACTAAACTGGGGTCTTCTATATAGTGCACCAGAACTAACTTTCTTTTTCCATAGTCTCAGAAATATATGAAAATGCTATAATCCATATAACTTTAGTTAAGAATTTTAACTATAGTCATATTGTGAGTACTGTATTTTTCGCATATGACATGCATATTTCCCCTCCAAAATCAGCCCCCAAAACTGGAGGACATCCTAAATGGGAAACCTAAGTTGGTTTCTTCATTGGAAGAGGAGCACTCTTGGAGACACTATTGTATGCCAAGATATCTGCCACGTGTCTGGCTCAGCATACTGAAAGAGTGGAGTCCTGTTAAACCTCTCTCAGCCATACCTATTGGCTGAGAACTATAGATTGTGCCTGAAGCAGTGAGTGACCTGCTGGTAGTATCTTGATGAGGCTTGTGATGTGGAAACACTTTATTTACAAGAACTTTATAAAGAACTAATTACAATAAAGAATTAACATTATTGCTGCCTGTGGCAGAGCACAGGGTGTGTCTGCCACTTTAAGGGCCTGGAGCTGGCAGCCTCCAGGTGCCTGATTAGGGCAGCCATTTTAGAGGCAAGGGCTGCCTA